TATGCACCTCACTGGTGTTGCTATTTCCCATATCAACACTGTAAAAATGTCCACAGCTGTATATTGATTATTCCTTCTTTGTGTGCAAAACCTAACTAAGTTTGGATTTACGGCTTAAAAAATTCAAAATATTTGTGGTTACACCTATTCTCCTCCACGTACATGTGTATTGGGTTTGAAGAGAGTGCAGTTTTCATTGTGTCTGTTCCCCCCACCTCTCTCTATAGGGCGTGATTGACAGGTGCAAGTGGGCAGGTGTTCCTTGTCAACTCCTTGTTAGTAGGACAGGACTAGCATCAGAGTAGTTCTTGAGTTCTTATAGTTCTTGAGTTTTTCCTCCTTCTTTGAATTTTCCTCGAATGTCCTAAAGTTATTCAGGTTTTCTCCAGTTCCTGAGTCTAGTCCCATTGCAAGTGATGGCCAAATAAAGCCTCACAAAGCAATGAGGCCTTCCAAACCTATGCTTTGCCTGAAGGCTCATTACTTTATGCTTTATTCATTGCTCACCAGTGACATCTGCTGCAGCACAGATGCAGTGACAGCCCTCATATTGCAAAAATCAGAGTCAAAAATCCATTTTTTTTCTAACACACTTGTCATTACTGTCTATTAAAATGATTTATACCAAAATAATTCTTCTAGCATGTTAACTGTATGTTGCAATTGTTTTAGTTTATGTCATGGAGTAGTTTTTGCAAATAATTTGGACTATATGCTTTCTATTTCTGAAAAACAACATTTCATTCTTCCAACAGCATTAAATCTGTTTCTACTATGTGATAGCTGGTCAAACAACAAAAAGTCAACTTTCTAGTGGATGAGTATTTGGGTGGTATTTGGTTATTTTTATCAAAGAATAGGACATTTTTCTGTGTCTTGTTTAAGGTGGTTTCTTCCTCTGCTTATTTCTACAGTTTAATCAATACATTAAATTAGGACAATTGTTGTGCAAGTTTACCAGACGTTTATGTATATATCAAATAACTATAACTGGAAGTTATAGTTAATTGGTTATTCAATTCAATGGTAAATCTAATAATTTATTTTCAGCTGAATTATTATAAGTGAAATTTGCTTAGTGACCAGGGTTCTTAGTCTCTTTTATAAAGGTAGGGCTCCTGAATCTGTATAAATTAATTTGCCTTTAACAAATTTATTAATTTAGACTGTGGCTATCAGCAGACTTAATTATCACCAACCAAATAAATCTGTCTCTTTTCACTGGGATGCTATTGAAAGAAGAGTGAATCCAGCCTGGGAGATAAATCGTTCACTGTGTAAAATTAACACAAAAAAACATAGTTTAAAATACAATGGTACCTTTATTAGCTACTAATAACATAGTATCAATATCTATTAACTACGCAGACACTACTAAAATTAAGCACAAATACACAAATAAGAGGGGTTTAAGAGTCTGTCCAAGAGTTTCTGCGGAATGGTCAAATTTTATGGCTTAATGCTTTAAAAGTGTCCTTTAGAGTTTGTTACATGCAGTCAAAACAGTGCAGTTTCATTCGGTGTTATAGTGAAAAATTAATAATGACTCAGGAGTGCATTAAAATTTGAGAAGGCCAAAAGAGAATGGGTTAGCTGTGCTTGGCCAAGGGGAGCTGGTCTGGGTGGGTCAAGAGGAGTGGCGGCTTCGCTGTTAGGGCATTGTGCATGGAATCCAGTGGTTCTGAATTCGAGCCCAACTCCCACCAACTGCCACTCCTCGAGCAAAGACCCTTAACCCCACACCACTCTCCGGGCACCGCTTAATGGCAGCCCATTGCTCCCCAATGGGGATGGGTTAAATGCAGAGAGTTAATTTCGTTGCTCTGTACTTGTGACAGTGTAGTGACAATAAAAAAGGTGGGGGAAAAAAAAAATTGAAACAAAGGAAAGGTTAACAATGCTGTAGCAATCTTCAGACCCTGGTTGCTCGTTCAGTTTGTTCACTGAGCATTAGCATTCAGTTAAAATTCTTAAATGCAGTTGAACCAGAAAGCTTTTTTCAAATAAAACAGAAACACAACTGTCTACTCTACTTAATTCACTCAATCAGAGCATCTTTTAAGCATCTGAGGGAAAGAGGGATGGTTGGCTGTTACTGTTTTGGTTTGGTGGAATGGAAGGCCCTCCCCTCTGTCCTTGCAGGCCCTGTCTTCATTTCAGTTCGTTCATCTAACAGCAGTTCTCGGAAAGATTTGGATTAATCCGATGCAATGTCAAGAGACAACTTGTAGGGGTTAATTTCACAACTCACAGTATCATCTCCCTTTAGCTACAGCGGTTAGCTGGTAGCCGTGGGTTAGGGTTGGTTCCTCTCAGGCAGGATCAGTATAGCACCGGTCATCTGCTTCTAACAGCTACTCTGCAAACAGCAATTCGGCCCGCAGTTTGAATCTCCGGAAAAAAAAAAAAAAACAGCCACTACAATCAGCTCCTTCTGAATCTTAAAAAAAGGTAGTCTGAGCTAGTCCAGTGAGCACAGACCTCTCCGGAAGGAGTGGGTAGCTACTCAACATAGACTTCAGCAGCCACAGGCCACCAAGAAGAAGTTGAAGGGGAAGTAGTAATTTTTAAAAACTCTGCTGGAGGGTTGTGCCTTCATAGGGGAGTAATTCCAGTTACATAATCGACATTTAAACCCAACACAATTCAAATAAGAAAGATAAATAGGGTGGTGTCTGTTTGTAGTGTATGATTTCTCATGTATGGTTCTGTAATGTCTAAGCATTGATGTGGTGTCCTAATTGTACAAACTACCTACAGTACAGGTCTCTAAAGCAGGACAATTCATTGTGCCTTTCACACAAGAAAAGACAAGCATGGAAGTGGAGGCTTTATTAGACACGCCCCTATTTTACTCGATACAAGCCTAGAAGGCTGGCTTCAGATTTACCATCACTACCCATTGCCTGCCTTTCCAATCTAATTCCTTTATCTGAGCTTTCTTTAGAGAGAAGCCAGGTCCTTTCCTGAATATAACTTTGTCTTTCAAACAATAAGCTCATAAATCCAGCTTAAAATCATGGAAGCTTTTTCAATTCAAAATGAGATTTTGAATTGAAAAAGCTTCCTAGATGAGAAGTGCATCGTCTTCAAACTTGGAAACAAAGTCCAGTGGATTGGCTTTTTTTTTTTTTTCTACTTTTTTGGAATATGCATCTACTAAAATCCTCTTACCTTTTCTCTTTAGCGTGCACAGAGTGACCTCCAGTGACCTCTAGGTTCCTCCATCCAGCTTTAAATATTTGAAAACAACTTCCCTTTCTTAATGGTTATCCGATTATTAATCGATTAATCAGAAAAATAATCAACAAGTTTGTTGCAGCACTAAAAACAACAGTCAAATAAATCCGGTTATTCACAACATACACAACATTCATACAGTTGGATTATATCCAATGTATACAGTAGATTTCATTGGACCTTTTAATACTAATTAATAAAGTGGTGACTGCACTGGGGAACACAGCAATTGCAAATTGTGAGCCAGCATGTGCCAACAAAGAGGAACAGAGAAACACTCTAGCAGAAAATGAGTGAAGACTAGTTTGTTGATTCTGGCATTGTAAAGTTGCAGATTTAGAATAACCCTATTGGGGTCTGTCACCAAAAATAACTAAAATACTGAACATCACAATAAGAAAAATTAGCATTCAAAAATGGTGGCTTCAATGGCATGTGTTAAAGTATAATTTCTGATTAAATGATGACAGAAAAACTTATTCGGTCTTTAAATTTAAAGAAATTGAATATATTTATTTAAATATATTGTGTTATTTAAAGGATCCACGTCAATTCAAATTCTATATCAATGCCGACTTTCAATATGTTTTTACTACAGTTCCTATTGCTTTTATACTGCCATCAGTTTTCAAATGATTTTCTTTGAGTATTTTTAAACTGTGAACATCCTTCTGCTGTAACAGCTAGTAGGGGGTTGTAGTTACACTCTTAGAGTTTTAGAGAAGTGAAAACAACTCAGAAGGACGTTCATAGTCAACTGGAAAAAACGAAGATCTGATAACTGTAAGTATCAGAAATATGTATTTATTACTTTTAGTATATCCTTGATTGAAAAAGATATACTAAAGGAATACTAACTAATATATATTTTGTTTTTCATTAAAAGCTTCTTTTGAGTTTTGACAAATTGTGAGACTGTGAGATAAGTCGCTTATGTGCGTGAAGGGTAAATGAACTGATGACATTTCCTGAAGGCAACAATTGTTATGCTTTCCTTGAAATCAGTTTTCTATATCTTTACAACAATTAAGAATAAATGCCAAAATGTTTTTAAACTTAATTTCAGCATTACGTGGGTCTCCATGTTTTAACATTTTACAGTCCTTCTCAATGATGCAGTAATTTATTAGCAAATTATTTTTATATTATTTTTGTCTGCTGAAAGTAATGTAGTCATGTAAATTATCTCATCCTAATGTTTTCTGAAATATGTATGGAAAGTAGGTTATGACTTCAGAAATATTACTTCAAAGATTTTTACACTTCAATGATATAAATAACATGATTTGCACTATTTAAATATATGTGTAGACCCCCTGTTTAATAATTAATTTTCCTTGTTTTAAGGCAGAATTCATATATAAGGGGTTTGGATTGTATATAGAAAAATACAAGTACAGGCAAAAACACTTTGAATTTTGAAATACCTCATCATCCCTTTATTTTCATCTCAATAAAAAGCTAATTGTTTAAATGAAATTCTGTGTACTACCATTTATGCCAAGCTGACACACTTCATTTCCATTTCAGTCTGCAGAGACAGGGGAAAGCTGAAATCAACCTTGAAAATGTCCAAAAAAAAAAAAAAAATGTGACCCTACTAAGTTACATTTTTCTGGTAACCTATGTACTTAAAATAGTTACTTCCATAGGGTACAGTTAATTGCAGAATTCAGAAACAAAAATCTTCTTGGATAGTTGTATAAATGATTGCTAAAAATAACTAATTTGTGTGTATGTCTGTCACTTGCAGATGATCAATTTTGAGGAACATTAACTGCAGCTGGAAAAAACATGACTGTCAAAGGAACTTTCTTTTTGCTTTGGAGATTTTTTTGGCTCTTTCTATACGTTAACCCCTCTATCACATATTCGCTGAAAAAATGCACCATAATATATCAGGAGAATTCATCCGCTGATGTTTTGGTGGATTGTGCATACAGGAAACTTATGACTTTTCCTGATGATATCCCTAAACATGCTACTTCATTAGATCTCTTATGCAATGAGGTTAAAAGAATTAACAGGGAAGATTTAAGTGAGATGTCTAATCTGAAAAACCTGAATCTAAGAAGTAATGACATTTCTCATGTGGATGATAGATCTTTTAATGACTTGACCTCATTGAAAATTCTCTCCATTCGTTGTAATAGACTAACCAACCTGACAAACAATATGTTTAAGGGCCTGTTCAACCTCACTGTACTTGACCTTTCTGAAAACCAAATTAATCTTATTGAAAACTCTGCTTTAAAGTCTCTAATCAGCTTAGAGTTCTTAGATTTGAGTGACAATCAGCTTTACAAAATCACCGACATTATACCCATCCTACAGCTACCGCAAATAAGGAGGCTTAGCCTAGATTGTAATAATTTTTCTACTTTTGAGACCAAGGACCTACCGATGAATCTGTCTTCAAGCCTAAATGAGTTGAAGGTTTCTAGTTGTAGCCTAAATTTTTTCAGCATAACAACATCAATCTTTCCCTTCCTCCAGAAGTTCGATGTTTCCAAATGTGGGTGCTCAGTACCAGCGAAGTGTGAAGTACCTGACAAAGCTTTAGTTAAAAATATCTCACAGCTTATCATCAAAGAAATGTCCTATGAATGTATTGAACAACTCCTCACAAATCTTTTATCTTTGCATCATTTGCAGTTAGTTGAAATGGAGGAATATATTAGAAAAGGACTACTGTCAAAAGTCTGCAAAATAACAAAAGTTAAGAGACTGGATTTGTTTGACAATGATCTTGACAATTTCACCACTGAGCTTTCAACATGCTCTCAGCTCATAACACTGGATCTGTCAAAGAACAGGATAGCTGAATTACCAAAAGGGTCCATACAACAAATGGAGCTACTGCAGTCCTTAAACGTGAGTCACAACCTTCTTTCCAAAGTTCCCCACGATGTCCGAAGCCTTGCCTGCCTTAAAATCTTAGACTTGAATTCCAATCGCATCTTGGAGTTAACCTGCGAAGATTTTATGAACGCAACAAATCTTACAGAGCTTTACCTAAACGAAAACCGTATTGTCAAACTTGATAAGTGTGTTGTTCAAAATCTCACAGATTTAAAGCGTTTAGATTTGAGTAATAATCTGCTCCGGAGATTTGGAGACACATTTAAAGTTGCTTTAAAAAAATTGGAGTTCTTGGATTTGACAGATAGCCATATATTGTCTTTAAGGACAAAGGACTTTCAGAGTTTGGAGTCACTTAAGCAGTTAAATGTTGCTACATACTTTTTTACTAAGACGAAACCTAAAAAAGCTCTTTTACAAAAAGAACCTGTCATTCATGGATTACAGCAGCTAGAAAACTTTACAATAGAATTCACCTCTGAAGACGCTTTGACAGTTCCCAATTTAAGCATTTATAAGGGTGAAAATATTCCTTTCAAGTCAATGAAAAGACTGACAGCTGTTTGTTTCGGGGATCATACCGGCCTTCCCTTCAACATACCAACAGAAATGCTTAATGGAATGGAAAATTTGGAGACTTTTACAGCTGTGAATATCTATGCTTTCCCTCCATATGTTGATATGTTTATGTTTAATACAAAACTCAAGAGTCTATCATTTGCCGAAACGGATCTGTCAAAAATGAATCCTGAGTTATTTCATCCAATCCAGAACTTACAGGCTTTGGATCTTTCCAATTCTAAGTTGATATCTTTGGATTTCCTTGTAAAGGCCAATCTTTCTGCTCTCAGATTCCTAAAACTGAGCAACAATGAGCTTACTGTGATTAATGAGACTGTCTTCCAGTCTCTCCCCTCTCTAACGTACTTGGACCTGAGCAAAAACCCGTTTACTTGTGATTGTTCAAATGCAGGTTTTATCAGATGGGCAAAAAGCAACAAGCAAACACAAGTGGCAAACACGCATCAGTACATATGTTCCTTTCCTGTCAACGAGCAAGGACATTTTTTACTAGATTTTGACATTAACTACTGTTTGAACAATGGCAGCTTTTTTTACTTCGTTTCCAGCACTTTTCTGGTTGTTCTTACTCTCCTTATATCCTTCATCCACCACTTCCTGAAGTCGCACCTAGTCTATGCATTCTACCTATTCAAGGCCTATCTGTATGACAGTAGGAAGAGGATGAAGGAAGGCCCTCATAAATTTGATGCCTTTATTTCCTACAATGCCCATGATGAGGACTGGGTTTACAGCAAGATGGTTCCAGTGCTAGAGGGAGAGCAGGGCTGGAGACTTTGTCTGCATCACAGAGACTTCCAACCAGGTAAACTCATGCTTTATTTATTTTGTTTGTGTTGTAAACCAACTGTATGTGAGAAAGTCACATTTTGTAGATGGTATCACATGGAAAAATAAGAGCCAAATAAATGACAACCAACACTATGTGCTACAAAAAAAAATTATATGGAAAATAACAGAAGTGCTTAATCTAAATGATGTAACAAGCTAAATGACACACGGCTTCATACCACAATGTCACCGGGTGACTATGAACCCATGGGACTGTTGGTTAGATGCTTAGAACAGATCAATATGTGCCATAATTTTCCCCAAATGAATAAAAACAAAACTGAGGACATTTTGGACCAAAGTAGGTGAAATCCAGAGTTAGCTCACAGCTTCAGCTACAAAAGCTAGAAATCATTGACTATGGCCAAAATCTATGTGTCATGATGGATTCATGACACATAGATGATTAACATTCCTTGGTGCATAAAGGTAGTTACTAAGTCCGTGTGTCGACCTCCCAGAACACTCAGATCTTCTAGTTCCAGGCTGCTCTGTACCCCAGAACTAGAACTAAACATAGAGAAGCAGCATTTATTTCC